CCTGGAATGTACTGTGTGTGTGATGGGTGTGTGTGCATGTGTGTGGGGAGGGGTCCCCAGCAGAGGCGCTCCAGACCTCTGTCCTGTGGGACACAGCCAGCTTGACCCACCCCTGGACAGTGGAAAGACCGCTGTCAGCAAATATGGCCGGAAGCTATTTTTATACAAGGTGTGTTTAAGGGTTTTATGTTTTTGTGACTTCTCGTTTCTCTTTTCTGTTGTGTTGTTCTTTGAAATACTTAAAGAAGAAAAAAGAAAACCAAGGAAACAAATACCTATTTTGGTTACACTCAGAAACAATTTTTTAAATAGCAGAAAGAAAACTTTTTTTTAAAGGAAAAAAAGATGTGTATTCCTTAAGTGTGAGATTAGACTATAAATTCCCTGACCCCTAGCCCTCTAGTAACCCCCCTCACCCTGAACTTGAATTAGCTGAAGAAGGTAGACTTTGTGATGTTTTCCTAGAAGACTGGGTCGTGTCCGTGTGGACTCAGAAGGGCAGTCTGTCCCTTCTCCCAAATGCTGGGCCCATGCTGAGGGCTCCTCAAAGCTCCCAGACAGTGACCCCTTGGTCCCTACAGTGGCTTCTCCACCCCCCCCCATCCTGTGATCCCCTCTCCTGTGGGAAGGGTGGGTCTGGGGGAGGAAGAGGATGAGGGCCACCTGGCCTGACAGGGCCTGATTTGTCACACTCTACTCGTTTTGACTGAATAAAAGTCCTGTTGCCAAAGTAAAGCTGGAGTTTCTTGGTGGCTATGTCCAGTCCTGGAGGAGTGGGTGGGAGCGGGCCAGGCAGGGACAGCAGCCGACTGCTATGTACCACTTCCAGGCTCCATGCGCACTGTCTTGTCCGTGGGTGCGAGGTAGATATTCTAGTTGTCATCTCAGTAAACACAAAGGATAAGCCAATTATGGCAGGATCAGTGTTGAGTCCAGGCCAGGCCGCCCGGTTTCAGGGTCTGCATTCTAACCACTGCTCCGTGGCTCCTTAGCTGGCAGTGAAGAGCCCTAGACCAGTCCCTCAGCCCTGCGGTGACAGCCCCCCAGCCTTGAGCCAGATGCTGGGCGGGGCGAGCTATATGCTTTCCGTGCACTGTCTGCAAGGAAGGACTGTTTTTCTTCCCCATAGTCAAGGAAGCTGGGGCTCTGACTGAGTGACTCTTTCCAGGGCACACAATCAGAACCCCTGGCTAGGCCTCTCCCTTCTTCCCTGTCCCCTCCTCAGTCCAGGCTCCTGAAGCCAAGTGTCTGGGGCTGCTGAGGCTTAGGATAGCCCAAGAGAGACTTGGCTTTTATAAAGGTGGTTGTGCTGACAAAGATCTGGAGGTCTCAGTGGGCCTCAAGCTTACTGAGAGGCAATGGTGTAATGCAATGGCTTCGACTGTCAGTGTCCCCTCTGCGCTGAATGGAAAGCCAGGGCTCTGCTGAAGGTGCTGCAGGGCTGCGGGGCTGGGTCCCACACCCAGAGGACTTTTTGAAAGGAACAAACCAGGACAGTGGTTTGCAAGCTGGGTTCCCTGGCTGTGGCCAGGCGGAGCTTCTCCAGGGCTCCACGTGCCCTGCCCACCCTCATCCAGAGCAGCTCCACTTTATCTGCCTTACATGTTGGACTCTTCATGAGATTTCATTTGAAAACAGGGTTCTGCTCCTGAAAGAATGTTTGAAAGCCACTGGTGTGGCCCTTCTGGAAGGGGCCCGCTGGGGAGGTTGGAGCCGAGGTCAGGCCAGAAACAGTGACAGTGCCATGGGTGCCTAAGGCCACAATAGTACTTGTCCTGCATTTGGGGGTGAAGTAGCTGACTTGCCCTGATTTTCCCAGAGGAAAGAACTAAGCCTAAATGTAGACAGACTACCTCACCTTCCTCTACACAGAACTTGGCAAACACAGGACCTCTTCACCAACTCCAGAGCTGCCTGGGGAGGTGGGCTTGTCAACCATTCAAGCAGACCCTGTAAGCATGGGAGAACAGACCAGGTCATGTCCAGTGCCCCTGTCCCCTCCAAGACTCCAAGGTGCTAATACCTCCCCAGTGGAGGCATCAGGTAAACATTTAGAAACCATCTAATATGACTCATGTCAATTATGCAAATTACACTCAAATTACACCAAATACAGCCAGGACCTGTTCTAACAAGGCCCTGAACTGGGCCGAGGTAGAGGGAGAAGCAGGTTCCACTGAGGAGTCTAACAGAAATAGATGTCAGAGCTGAGTGGCCCAGCTGGAGTCTGGGTCCTGAGATCTCAAATAGTCTAGAGGCCTCAGGCCAAAGACACCCACCCTCCAGCACATATGCATACATGCACACGCACACGCTCGCACACACACACACACACACACACACACACACACACACACACACTACCTTTGGGCAGAAAGCAGCAGCAGCCAGGGCTTGCAACCTGCTGCAATTAGCTACTGCTCTGTAACGAACCACCCACAAGTTCATTATTCATCCTAACATTTATTTTGCTCCCAACTCCGCAGTTTGGGCAGGGCTCAGCAAGGCAGCTGTCTGCTCTGCTCGGCATCACGGGGGCAGCTTGAATCCTGGGGCAGCTTGAATCCATCTGAAGGCTCCTGGCTCGCTGATCTGGGGGCTGATGCTGGCTTCCGGCCCCAGCACCCCCATGTGGCCTGGGCTTCCTCACAGCATGGTGGCTGGGATCCAAGGACAAGCATCCTGAGAGAGCCAGGCAGAGACGGTGTCATAATTTCGAACCTAGATGTCACACACGGTCACCTGTGCCATGTTCTATTCATTAGAAGCAAGCCACCAAAGAGGCCATATTCCAGGGGAGGGATTTAGATTACCCTTCTTAATGGAAGTAAAGTAAGAGAAGAGTGGACATGTTTGACCACAGGACCATTTCAGAGGGACAGGTGGAGAACGGTGTCAGCGGGGAGGCTGGGCTGGGCTCCCCGCAGAGGCCGGGCAGGGGCAGGAGAGGCAGAGGACACAGCCCGGAGGGCCCAGTGCTGGCGCCGCAGGAGGACAGAGTGCTCCCTACTCCCACACTAAACCCTCTGTGGGTCTCATCCTGATTATTAGCGAAGATCTGTCTAGGGATCCAGTCCTGAGGCCACAGGGAGGGGGACCGGACTCCTGTGAACACCTGGAAAGGGGCTTCTCTGTTCCCTGCTTGCTCTTCTCCAGCAGTGAGGGGCGAGGGGGGCAAAGGGAGCAGGTGCAAGCCTGAGATCCCCACCCTTCTGAAGATGGTAGATGCCAGAGAGACAGTGCTAGAAGGGACCACTGACCCCTCATGAGACAGATGAGGCAACTGAGGGTCCCTGAGGGACAGGGGCTGCTCCAGGTCACAAGGAAATTAGGGGTAGAGCCAGGCAGGGCTGGGACCAGGACAACCACACCCCACCTGGGCCCTTTCCACTCAACCCAGCCCGGCCACAGCCAGAGCCCAGGAGAAAAACATGGAGGGCAGATGGGTTACTACCTGGAGACTAGGGGTGAGCAGTGAGGGGAGTCACTCTGCTCAGGGTGAGGGGAAACCTGGTTAGAAACAGGAATGCAGGAGTGGGAGCAACCAAGGAGAGGAAGGGTTGTCCTGAACTCTGGATTCAGGCCAGAGTCAGGGAGAGAGACATCTAGACCCATACCCCTCCCACAAGAGGTATTATAAGGCTGATCTGGGAGTTCCCTTGCTCCCCTGGGCCCTCATGGAGCCACCTGGGGCCGGGGGTGGGGGAGCACAGGCTGAGGGGAGGGCTAAGGAGGAGCCAGGCTGGGAAGGGCCTTGTTTCTCCAGCTCAGGAGGGATGTTCCCTGGACTTGATGCTCACAAGCACACGAACGGCCTGCTGGTCACCCTGTGCTGTGTGTCCACTGCCACAGTGCAGGGTCTGGCCCTGGTCATCGCTCCTGGCCTCACTCTGGATTAGGCAATAGTTCATTATGATGCCAAAAGCACAATTTAAAAAAAAAAGGATAAAATTAGACCCATTGAAGACATTTGCGCTTCAAATGACACCATCAAGAAAATGCAATGACAACCCCAGAATGGGAGAAAATAATTGCCAGTATGTCTCTGATAAGGAATTTTTATCTAGAAAATATCAAGAACCCTTATAATTTGATAATAGCAACTCAATAATAAAAATACAAGTAATCTAATTTAAAAATGGGCAAAGGGTCTGAAAAGACATGTCTCTAAAGAATATACACAAAATGGCCAATAAGCACATGAAAAAAAGAAAATGTGAAACCACAATGAGATAACAGCTCACTCCCACTAGGATGGCTAGAATGAAAAAGTCAGATAATATCAAGTGTTGACAAAGATGTGGAGAAATCAGACCCTCATACGCTGCTGGTGGGAATGAAAAAGGGTACAGCTGCTGTGGAAAATAACCTGTCAGTTCCTCAAAAGGCTGAACATATAGTCTCTATATGACCCCGCAGTTTCATTCCTGGATGTATATTCAAGAAAAATGAAAACATGTTTGTTTGGTTTTTGAAGAATTAACAATCAATTTTATTGAGCTTAGACCAGTATTCCAGGAGTCTTGAGGACCTCTGTGTATCTGTCAGTTTTCTTATTTATATTCTTTTTGTTGTTGTTGTTAATCCTCCCCTGAGGATATCTTTTTCCATTGATTTTTAGAGAGTGGAAGTGAGAGAGGGGGAGAGAGAGAGAAAAACATCGATGTGAGAGAGACACATTAATTGGTTGCCTCCCACATGACCTGGACCAGGTCAGGGATCAAACCTGCAACCCAGGTACGTGCCTTTAACCAGAATCGAACCTGAGACCCTTTGGTCCACGGGCCAACACTGTCATCTCTGAGTCAAATTGACCAGGACTCTTGTTCACATTCTTTGCGGCCTGTTTCTATAGCCTCCTGAGCTGCTTTTGTTTTGGGTAATGAGTTTGGGTCTTCCCCTTCCTCTTCTTTTCTAGAGGGGCTATGACTCCCTGGTGCTTCCAAACAACCTCCCGAGCCAGGCGTAGACAGGCAAACCCCTGTCAGGGCTCCAGGCTCCTCCCAGCATCAGCTAAGCCGTTGGCATTATCGGTGCTGCTCACAGTGCCATCCACAGACCATCATTTGCCAGTCTTGGGGACCTCAAGTTCACCCCACTAGTGGGCTCGGGATCCTCAAGTTAGCCCAGTCAGTGTAACCTGGAACTCAGAACATCTCATACACCACTATTTACAGAAAAACTCTTACACCACTATTCTTAACTGCATTATTCATAGTAATGGATAAAAAGTGTAAACAACTTAAATGTCCACCTGCTGATGAATGAAGAAATGAAATGTAGTATATCCATACAACAGGATGAGGGTTTTTGTGTGTTTGTGTGTGTTTTTAATTAATTAATTAATTTTTGTTACAGATGTTTCTCCTTTTTTTCCCCAGACATCCTGTTCCCTATCCCGCCCCCGACTCCCACCCCACAAGCATTGTTGTCTATGTCCATTGGTTTCGAATACATGCATATAAGTTCTTTGGTTTATCTCAGCCCTCCCTCCCGCTTCCCTCCCCTGAGGTTTGTCAGTTTGAACCATACTTCTTTCTATGTATCTGGGTCTATTTTCTTCATTTATAGGAAATGTCCAGAATAGGCAACTATTTAGACCGTAGGAGGTTAGTGGTTGCCTAGAACTGGGGATTGGGGTTTGGGGAGAAATGAGGGGTGCCTGTTAATGGGCACAGGGTTTCTTCTGGGGGTGATTAAATTGTTCTAAAATTGTGGTGATGGTTACACAACTATATGAATAGACTAAAAACCATTGACTTGCACACTTTAATGGGTGAATTGTATGGTTTGTGAATTATATCTTGATAAAGCTATAAAAAAACTTGAAGAGGACTCATTGAGTTCATAATAAGTAAAGTGTTCAGTTCAAGTGTTCAAACAATCCACTGTTACAAGTAAAGAAACTAGGGTGGGCAGGGCAAAGTCGCCCAAGTGGAGAGCGGGGGCCAGATAAAGGAGAAAGTAAGCCTGAAGGGACCTCTGCACCTGGCCCGGCCTCTCTAGAGCAGAGGGAGCCTGGAGGCTCTGTGCTCCTGGAGGGCTGTGACTAGAGGGTTTTGCTGCCACCATGTGGAATTGTCAAAGATTACATCCATGCGGACTAAGGTCTGATCTGTCTTCCCCATCTGATTGAAGTTAGCAGTTAACATGTGCTCTGCCCCATACAAGGGAAAGACAGACTCAGCTAGCTGACAGTATAGGCTTGAAAAAAGTAAGTGCAATCTATCTCTATGTTGACTTGCCTGGGTACCAGCAACAAGCTATAGAAACAGAAAAAAACATGATTCTTTGAAGTCCAGAATTAAGGAAGACCCCGAAAAGGAGCGGAGCAAGGGGAAAGGGCATCCTAGGCTAAAGACACGGCGCGAGCAAAAGCTTGGAGGGGTGAAGTGCGTGGTAAGGTCCCTGAGCAGCCAGGAGGCCATCCGTGGCTACATGGGGCCTGGCACTCAGTAGATGCTCATAAAATGTATAAATGAATGATTCCTAGATTTCCAGAGCATATGCTTTTTGCACAATTGATGTAACTGAGGAAGGTCTTATGTGGCTTACCAGGTGGAAGGGGAACCCAGCAAGAGGGTCAAATAGCCTAGAGTTTCCTCAGGGAAGAGAAAGAGCTTTGTGGTGTTTGACAGAACAACTCCACATTACCTCATCTGAGTCTTCTCACAGCCCTGTACTGGGCGGGCTGGATTTATTCATCCTCCCATTTAACAGATGAGAAAACTGAGGCTAAGAGGAGTGAGGTGGTAGAGCTGAGGCTTGAACCTGGGCCTCCTTGTTCTAAGCCCATTCTCTCTGATGCCTTGTTATCTGTGTACCGAGGAGAAGGGTGCAGGGGAACTTGGGGGCAAGGGGAAAAGGAATGATCTATATTGGCTGAGATAGAGATTTCCTTTTTGAATATTGAGGAGAAACCCAGGAATGTCAGACCCTGAAGAAGAAGGGTTGGGCATGTCCTAAAATGCAGGTTGGGTTAGGAACCTACCATAGCTCCCCATTGCTCTCAGAGCAGTCTAACACCTTTGGCCTGGTATTTAAAGTCCCTTCATGCCTGGCTGCTGTGGCTCAGTGGTTGAGCATTGACCCATGCACCAAGAGGTCGCGGGTTTAATTCCCAGTCAGGGCACACGCCCAGGTCGAGGCCCAATCCCCAGTGGGGGGCATGCAGGAGGCGGTCTGCCCTCTCATCGATGTTTCTGTCTCTCTCCATCTCCCTCCTCTCTCTCTAAAATCAATAAACAAAAAAACTATTTTAAAGTCCCTTCATGAGCAGCAGTGTAGCTCATTGGTTAAGAGCACCGGCTAGGCCCCTGGCTGGGCAGCTCAGCTGGTTGGAGCACTGTCCTGATACACCAAGGTTTCGGGTTCCATCCTCCGTCAGAACACATGCAAGAATCAACCAATGATTGCATAAATAAGTGGAATAACAAATTAATCTCTCTCAAATCAATAAATTAAAATTTTATTTTTAATTTAAAAGTCCACCCGCTTGGGTTTGTCATCTCCATGCAGCCACTGTCTGGCTGTGTGACCAGTGGACATTGCTTAACCTCTGACGCCATTTTCTTCTCTATAAATTACGGACAAAGATAGCACCCACCTCATAGGTTGTTGTGAGCAATAAACAAGTCAGTTATGTAAGACCATGCTTGTTATAATAATAATTATTATTATTATTAACAGCAGACCCTAATTTATGGCTCCTATCATTGACTCCAATTCTCCAAGTTGGGATCCTGACTTCTCTGGAATATGCTGTCATAGTGTTGCCTTCAGGCCTTTCTGCAAGATGTTCCTTCAGCCTGGAATGACACCGCTCCACTGTCCCTTCTTTCCAGATCCTTCCAAACATCGCCTCCTCCCAATCCTTCCTGGTCCTCCCCAGCTAAAACCACTTCTCCTCCCTTTGCCCTTCCTCTGCACCTGGCTTAACCTGCACTCTCCTTCTGCAGCATAATACTCTCAAGATGTACGTCTGGCCCTGGCCGGTTTGGCTCAGCGGTTAGAGCGTCAGCCTGTGGTCCAGAGAGGCCCGGGTTCGGTTCCCGCTAAGGGCATGTACCTCGGTTGCAGTTTGTCCCCGGCCCTGGTTGGTCATGTGGGTGGCAGCCACTCGATGTGTCCCTTTCACGCTGATGTTTCTTTCTCTCTCCGAACAAAAAATAGAAAAATGTCCTTGGGTTAGGATTTTAAAAAATTAAAATAGCTTACATTAAAAATAAAAAAAAAAGATGTACGTTTGTCATTCCTGCTCTGAGAACTTTGGGTGTGAGTTTCCTAAGGACAGGTACAGTGTCTTATCTCTTTATGACCCAACCAATGCTGACATGGAGCACACTCATCACCCAAGCAATGCTTGTGATAAGAAAACAAGAAAAGGGGAAAGCAAATAGGGAGGGAGGGAAGGAGTGAGGAAGAAAGATGAAGAAAAAAGAGAGAGAGAGAGAGATGAAAGGTGAATTAAGAGATGATGATAAGAGAGACTCTAAGAGAAACCAGCCCTGACTTCGTTGCCCTTCTAACAACTCCAGGGGAAAGAACGCAGAGACTGAAGACTCGGGGTAATTGCAACTCTTCAGTGCGTCTTATTTCCATCCCTTGAGCCACTGCATTGAAACCGACTATGAAAACCTCACAGTGGCTCTGGACTTGCTCTGTGGCCTCTCTCAAGCTCAATTTCCTCATCTGTAATAGAGATAATAAAGGTACTTATCTAATTGAGTTGTTATGAGGATCAAATGAGAAAATAACTGGAAAATCCTTGGCACCTGGTCCAAAGTAAGAACTCGGTAAACGCTGTGGTGATGGTTTGTTGATTCTCGGAATCCCAGACATCTTCGAAGAAAGGACTGAGCGCTGCTGGGGAGGGGAGGTGCTCCCTAACCTCGGAGAGGGGCCTATTGTCCAAGTGCCTGGCCCACTGGTCACACAGAGGTCACACAGTGTTTTCTCCTGGGCCTCCTCCACCCCAACAAGATGCACAATAAAGACTTCTGATTGCTTAATTAAAGGAAGCGGATACACAATTAATTTCAATTTGAGGCTCACCCCCCCACCCACCTTTCAAAAAGAATTGAACACCCTATTCCAATGTACACACTGAACCAACATGGAATTTTCCAGCAGGTTCTGAAGCCTTTGAAGTGACCAGACCAGACTATTGATTTATTTCCAACTAACCTCTCTCTTTGAACCCAGAAGGGTCAAGGTTAATTATATAATAAAACACACTGTGCCCAGCTGCCCCCTCTGAGGGCGCAGGGAGCCCCCAGACCTTGGCCAGCAGACTAGCTGTAGATCGTATTTCTGATCCCTTCTCTGCATTCATTTCCTTCATCAGGGCCCATTAAGAAGAAGAAGGAAAAAAACAACGACCCCTCATTTCCTCCCTGAGAGATAAATTTTAATTTGCTGGAAACCAACAAAGGGGATCTAAGCCTCGTTTCCAGGCTGCATCCTGCAGTTGAGAAATCTTGGTGGGAGCACCCATGGGGCCGGCTGGGAAATGGAGGGGGGGAGGAAGGGATGCAACCCCCAGGTCTGCCTGGGGAGCAAACCCCCAACGGGACTGGCTCTGTGGGCGGGCGGGAGCTCCCCGCACGGCCAGTCTGTTAAGCCTTCCTTGCTGCCTAAAGTGAGATAACCCGCTCCTGGGGTCGCTCAGTCAGCTCTCAACAGTACACGAGGTGGACACCATCTCCCTCTTTCTCGGATGATGAAGCAGACTCTGCGTGGTAACAGAATGGTCCCGTTACCCCAGGTAGGAAGTGTTGGGCCAGGAGTGGAACCTACACTTCTGTTTTCCTTGTTAGACAATGGATTTTCCTCCCTGCCTCCTCTCACCCCAGGGGAAACATCGTAAATATTCTTTTTATCTCCATCATCAAAAGCCAAAAGAAGGTTCAAAATTATTATCTAATATGTAGTTCATAATCTAATGTCCCCAGTTGTCCCAACAATGTTCACCTCAGCTTTTTTTTTTTTTTTATCCTCACCTGAGGATATTTCTTTGCATTCATCTTCAGACAGAGCGGGAGGGAGAAAGGGAGGAAGAGAGAGAAACAT